TATATCGTGTCTTTCCACGGCTGATTTTTGTGCTTTGATTCTAATTCGAAGGGGACGCCCACTTTGCCCGTTGTAATGCTTGTTACAGTTCATAAAATTTATTTTGTAAATGGTATTAATTTTATCTCCTTTTCCTGTTGGATCTTTTGGTTTGCACAATGTCAAACAAAGCTATTTGACTGGCTTGTGTGCTATATATATTTCAAACGGTCTTAATATTTTAGCTGTTATTTTAGAAACATTTTTTATAAACGGCAGGATGAATTTTCTTGTGGTCTTTGATGATGGTTCCTTGTTTGTGTAGTGATTCGATTTTAAACACTTTTTGAGGAAATTCAGTGGATAACCATTCTTTTTGAAGACCGTTTTTAGGTATATTTTTCTATTCTTTTCAACTTTTGAGTGCTACAGTGTGTTTGAACTCCTTTAAACGAGGTCTGCACACAGTTTATTTTGTGAGTAATTGGATTATTGCTAGTATGATTAAGAGATTTAAACGTAGAACTTTGTACAGATGTGCAGCAGTTCGAAATGACACATTGCATATAGCCACAAAGCAAGAGAAGAGAATAAAGAGAGATAATAAACAGAAATATGGGGCAAAATGAGTATTAATATGGAAGAACAATAGCATGGTATGACTGAGGGAAATTGTGGAGTCATGTTTTTCACACCTACATGTTCTGTTTATCGTCATAGTGAAGCAGCCTTTTAGTTTTGTTAAAGTAAGTATTTTACGGATGGGCGTATCACTGAAGAATTTGAGAATTTTGGGTTTAAACTTTAGTGCTTGCGTTTTTCATCATCTTGATGGTCTGTGGTAATATAACTCGAATTTATGAGGAAAACTATTCTCAAACGGACACTCATTTCACTTTATTATCAGTTTGCGATTGCACGACAGCTTTGACTTAGGTGTAACAACTTCGTCCTACCTTACTATTTATAATTCGTTCGTAGATAGGTTCCAGGCGGCATCTCAGCGCCTATACACAAGACCGACTTCCTTATTTTTCAGTTTACGTGATCTTTTGTTCCAATGAGATATAAGATTACTAATTGAATCAATTGTCCACTGATCAGGACTTCGTTCTGTCATAATTTATGACTATGAGACATAGATACTAACGGCAGAAGCTTTTAGGTGTTTTCACAGCAATGCTCACAACGACACCGGCGTATTTCCTTCTCTTCATAAGAGTTTTGAATATTCTCCCCAGACTTCATCAGATTTCTGTGTCCCTCTTCATGCATGTATATTTTTCAGTTTCTTGTGTTATTCGGTAATTGTTGCTTGTAACACTTTAACTAACTCATATTTCTGCTAACAACTATCTTGATCTATCAGTCAGTCAGATATGCTAAACTATCATGTCCGGTGTCGAATACCTTTTTTTATCCAACACCTAGTTTTACTCTGATGGATTATTCCTTCATCACTATGAAATATATTTAATGGGTAATGTTTCTCACATTCGGTTTAGTTAACCTTTTCAGTCTGTTTTCTAACTGCACAAAATGTACTCCAATACCTTCAACGAATATACTTTCACAAAGGTTGTTGACAGAAACACTTCACTGGAATTTTAGACTGCTACATATGTGTGATATAATAGCATCATTGTTCATGGATGTATATATATATATATATATATATATATTTCTTTAGTTAGGCAAACTAGTGGTATGAATGTTAATCAAAGGATTGATTTTTCATCATTGAAATAAACATTTTTAAGCGTTACGCGAATGGTTAAAAATAAAAAACATAAATCAATAATTTCGCTCTATTTTTTTGTCACAAATCATTTGTTAGTTTAATTTCTGGCTATTTTTGTTAACAGATAATTAAGTAAAGAAATAAGTGTAACGGTACCGGAATTTTGTTACTTCTTTTTTTTAATCAAATATGATGAATGAACTGGTACTTAGAAGAGTATTGATACTTTTGAAAAGCTGTAGTTTTAAATAACGGCGTAATGCTTATTTTATTACCGGCAAAATAGTGTTTTTGTGTTTCCAGTGTCTGTGTTATAAGTTTCCATTTGTAACGTTTCCTTGAGATCGGTTATATAAGATCACCTAGCTAAATATGATCGAATCAGATATATGAGGAGCTTGGTTGGTTGATAGTCGTGGCATATTGCGAACTTCTATTGACTGAGAAAAAATATGGATCGTACTAATGACTAAACTATGAGATCTTGATGTTAAGGCTATTGGTCTTAAAAGTTAACTGCTGGGAACCTATTTTTTATTTTAATATTTCACGAAATGAGGCATATCTAGCGCGTGAGGTTTAACGATCCCACTTAGTTGCGCAGACTGATTTGGTGGAGAAGATTGGAACTCTGGGTCCATTGGTTGAAACTGGAGTTAGTGAACCAGTTTTAATTCTGGACTAAACTAAGTATCACATGTCTTAATTCCTATACCATGACCTAACAGGTGCACAGTGCTCCTTATTCTCCGACTGTAACAAAACTACTTGCGCTACCATCAAGTATTTCGGCTATGTTGATATCAGTATACTATATCCAAGCACATTATCTCGTCATTCCTACTTTTTGTCAGTTTTTTTAAGATTTTGTTCATAAGTAAGTGTCCTTCCGGCGAAGTTAAACTTTCGACACCACTAACTACCAATCAGCGAATTATCCAATGGGATTCACGAACGATGTCGAATTATCCAATGAGATTCACGAACGCAGTTCAATGCTGTAGAGCGCTTGATTCTTTTCTAATACGCGACCTTACAAGATTACGGTTGCAATTCGAGGAGTACAGTGTTTTCCAGTATTGCCTGGATTTAGGGTTGCTCCGGAAGGAGCGAACTTGTTCGTGTGTTGGCATCATGACTTTAAAAAGCTATAGCAGATCAACTGATGGGTTTGTTCATCGTTGTGCTATGTGTTTGAAGCGTGCTAACATTAGAGCGGATAAGCTGATAATTTTAATATTTCGTAGGAACTTTTTTCCCTAGGTCGCATCTCTCCCTAACCCAGAGTTTCTACATCTGCAACTACTGGGTGTTGAAACAGCCGGTGAGAGCAGCAGCTGCCGAGACTGAGAATAGTCTCGTCTCAACAGTTTAGTGGTACCAGCATTGTAGAGATATTGCTTCGTGTAAAATAGGGAAAATCACTTGTTTGCTGGGTGGATCCCGTTACGAAGACTCATGCGAATTCCATTGAAGGTTTTGGGGGCTGCTTGAAAAACAGGATAAGGGCTATAAATGGATCTCAAAAGGATCTCATTTACCGGCATTCAGATAAATATAAGTACACGATGTGGTGTGACTTCTCCATTGACAGTCTTATGCTAAACTTGGAGATGTTTCTCTCACATGTTCGAGAAAGATACCCCTTGTAACCGTTTTATCCTCTTTTTTATGCTTTTTTCTATAAATATACGTTTCCATTCATCATATATGCCTATTTAATATGATTGGTCCGTTCAAAGTCGTTTGCTGATTGGTTGTTAGTGGTGTCGAAAGTTTAACTTTGCCGTCCTTCAATTCTGTTCAGTCGACTCCACGAATTATAGTCATCACTTTGGACATCGTGTAGTTCACTTCAAATGTAGGGTCTTTCATAAGCTGAGTTCTTTAATGAAGGGAATGGCTGTGCGGTCGAAAACTGCTTTTCCTGAGAATTCCATCTTAGATACAAAGATCCAATCAATAAAAACTAAATCTATCAATCAGAAACCAAGTGTTGACTGCATGTTTTCTAAGTTTTAGTTTGGCGTGACTTTGGTTTGAGTATCCCAAAAACCGTGAAGAATGGGACAAGTGTTTTTAGTCTTTGTTTTTGGTGTCATAAGTGCGAACTGATGAGGAATCCTAAACAAGTAAAAAGCAGCTGCTCAGAACCCCTTTAAGTTACTTTGTGATTACTGTTGTCTTAATGTATTTATTACCTAATAAATGTCACAGTGTACATGTTACAGTCACTTACTTTATAGGATCCCACACATTTTGTTATTGACTGTTAATCTCGCATATATGGTATATCATCATTCCCACACATTTTGTTATTGACTGTTAATCTCGCATATATGGTATATCATCATTCCCACACATTTTGTTATTGACTGTTAATCTCGCATATATGGTATATCATCATTTCTCACGCACTTTGTTATTGACTATTACGATCAATTATTTCAAATGCTGTTAGCTGTCTATATTGTTGTAAAATGTATAAATACCATGACTTTCTTTGTCGTTGTTGTTGTACTACAACACACAGTCACAGTCCAGTCTTTGTCTTTTGATATTTGAGTGCTTCACTGAATCGGAAGGTACGACAAGCAGATAGGCATATTAGTCAGGCGCAGACAGAACAAGGCGACAACGTCCTCATTTAATTCCCTACAGTTATAACATTACTACAGCGAATTTATCTAAATTAACATAACTGCTAACATAACAGGTAACATATGGATGCTCAAGAATAACAGAAAATTCAATAGGTACTAGGTATTCAACAAATGTTTACCTATCTTTTGTGTAAATTTTTTCCATCTCTCAGATATATAAAATTCTCATTAGAGCACTTTTTTAACTACTAGGGTACATTTTCTTAACTCATTGATAAGACATACATTATTAATATGTAAAATGTATTTTCTTCAGAGATGTATGTCTCAGATCGTATTAATACCCATTTTTTATTCCTTTAAGTTCCGAGTGGAACTTAAGGCTTCAGACTTTAAAGTTTCAATTGTGTGGTGGTGGTGTTGCTACCCTGACGTCCAACCTCTTATCTTTTGGCAGCCTAATACCAGTCAGTAGGAATCCCACCCTGACCCCCCCCCCCACGTTGTTGGGGTGTATCCCACCATTGAACCACTGACGTCGAAGTGGTGCATTAATACCTCCTCTTATTGTTCACTTCTCTATTTCAAAATTTGTATTCATATGCGCTAACCTACTTTATCACTCAGTGTAATTTTACTATTAACTACTAAAATCTGTTGTTATGTATTGCTTTCAGAAAAACAAAGTACATCACAATCCTCAGGTTTAGTTGCTTCAAGTTCATCAAGTGTTCTACCACAGGTGTCATCGTCATCATGTGCTACAAAATTCAATAATAACACGTCAATAAACTCATCATCTTCAATCGCTGAATTAGACTTAAAAGATCTTGGAAAAAAATTATCAATTGGTGTAACACGTGAGGTGAGTATTAATATACTGGCTATAAAATGTTTATTACAAAATACAACAGTTGAAAAAAAAAACTAATTCTCTTATTGTAACTCTTGTGGAGAATGATGTTCAATTGGTGTTAGTAAGTGCTTTTATTATCCAACTGATGAGTTGAATTGTTTTTGTTAACATAAGAAACAATTGCCCCCACCCTACCCGCCTCCAGCTCCTGTGCAATATTAATAAATGAAAGCCCTTTGACAACTCTTAATTAATCAAAGTGGGAATTGGAATTTTTCTGTGAAAATTACCTCTCATATGATTGACTTGCATTTGGTAAATTTCGTTCTTTGAGGTGTATGTTTGTTCACCACTTAGTTGTATTATTCCTAAAGATTGTTAGTTTGTGATAGTTTCCAATTATAATGACTACAATAAGCTAATGAAACACTTTGTCTGATGGTAATTTTAAACTGATTATATTGAGGCGAAATGCTCACCCTCTGGTGACATGTAAACGCCTGGTACGGACACTTCGGCAATGTCCGAAGATTAATATAATGTTATTTCATATTGATATATGTGTAAAACTTGGGCAGTGTGGTAGTAAGTAAATCCATATTTGTTTGTTTATTAATGATAGTAGCGACAGTGATAATAATAATGATAACAATAAAATGTAATAATAATAATGACGACACCAACAATAAGGAATCTAAATCATCAGTAGTAATTCCATACAAGGAAGGAACCTCGGGAACCTTACGCAGAATTCTTAACAAGGCGGGCGGGAATAAAAGTGGCATTCAAACCCACAAACTCAATTAGAAACATGCCTAGTCAGTTAAAGTGCCCTGTGGAGCTTTCAAAACCAAACAATTTAGTTTATCTAATACCCTGCCTGCAATGATTGTCAGGTCAAGTACATAGGTCAAACTAGTAGAAGAGGGGCAGTCAGACTAGCAGAACATAAAATCCTAGCAAAATCTAGATTGGTTGACCCAAATAAGATAAGAAATCTAGAGAATAGTTCAGCTATAGCACTACATGCAGTCACACACAACCATACAATAGGATGACAGTTTTAAAATCTACTGTCACAGGGTGGATGCAGAGAGATTGATAACAGAAGCTTTGTTTATTGAATCAACTGCAAATACATGTAATAGGAATGATTCATCACCTGTCCCAGATATATAGAAAATTCTACTACCCCTTCGACAAATAGGAGAAAACAAAGAAAACTATTGAACTCAAGTTTCAAAGTCGTGTGATTACAATTGTGATATGATTATGAACAATAAATTTTGTTCGAAACGTCATTCAGTAAATAATATTGTTTCATCACTGTGTGATACATCTAATAAACAAACTAATATGGAATAATGTTATTTCACTGATGACAATCAATGGAGTCCAGGATACGCTTTGACATTAGAGACCATGAACGTTGAATTCTAGTCTTAATGGGAACACGGTCACTCGTTGAGGATGAAAGTATATCCGGAAGATTAGTCTTAAAAAAGAACAAAACTCTTATCCTGGATTACACTGCTGACCGCCACCAATTAAATAAAACTAAACGTGTACTATTCGATTTCGGTGTCTTCTTGTGTCCTCTCAGGTAGGATGACTTAATTGCGATGCTTTCATTTTCCTTCTGAACAACAACATCATCTGTTCATATTGAAATTAGCGCCGAAAATGTTGTCCGGTATGAAAATGAAAGTTTTGATTAATATCATTCTGCTCAAAAATACAACAAAACAGCGAACATATCCACCGGTGCAATAAATTATCGCCATCATTTCAAAATCTTATATTGTGACATTTAAATTGTTTTCTTTTTGATTATTTGTCTGTACAACAGACGATCTGTATATAGTGCCATAATAATAATTTGTTTATTAGATATATCACACAGTGAAGAAGCACTATTATTTACTGGTTGACAAAGTTTCAAACACAATTTTTGTTGTTCATAATCATATCAATTATAACCGCAGGACTTCGAAACTTGAGTTTTATGATTTTCTTTATTCTACCTATTATTCTAGGTGGAAAAGTATTGAATCATTCCCATTACACGTATTTTCAGTTGATTTGATTCCATTGCCAATCTGTCCCTCCCCCCTGTGACATTAGATTTTAGAACTGTCATCTTATCGTATCCTATTGTATGTTTGTGTTGTGGGTAACTGCATGTGGAGTAATCCTACAGCTGAACTATTCTCCAGATTTCTTATATTATTCGGATAAACTAATCTAGATTTTGCCAGGTTTTTGTGCTCCACTAGTCTGATTGACCCTGTTCTACTACTTTGACGCATGTATTCGACCTGACAATCATTTCAGCAGGGTATAAGATAAACTAAATTGTCTTGTTTAATTGACTCCACAAGATCCTTTAACCGACAAAACTTGTTTTTACTTGATTCAACACCTGTCTCAGACATTTGGAAAATTCTACTATTCTTACGACAAATAGGAAAGAATAAAGAAGACTATAAAACGAAAGTTTCTAAGTTGTGTAATTATAACTGACATGATTATGAGCAATAAACAGATTGTGTTTGGAATGTCATCCGGTAAATAATACTGTTTCTTCACTGTGTGATATATCTAATAAACAAACTAATATGGAATTTTCAAGTATTCGTTTTGTAAGGATTTCGTTTCTTTGGATGAAGGATTTCATCATGAGCTGACATCAGTTAGAGAACTACTGAAAAAACCTGGGAGTACTGGAGAGCTATTTCGTTCTAGTTTGGGAATTACTAACTACCACAGTGCCCAAGTTTTACACATATATTAAGACGACATGTATATTGTAAAATTTACTGACTTTGTTCAATAATGTGATATAATTGTCATTTTTTTTATTTTGTAAAGTCTCAGGTGTTTTGCTTTTACTTCTATCCTTTTTTTCTTTTATCATAACAAAATTAGATGGCTCGTGAAATTAAAGTGGTAACTATTTACCTGGCTCTTGGTTGTCCAGAACGCATACGTTTTGAATATCAATTCTGTTGTTTGAAAGACAAAGATGGACGAAAACAACACTTGAATTCATCCTATTCAAATTTATTACTCTGTCCACCGTTAGATCCAGATGGAGAGGGGTTAGTAATGGTTTAAGACGTCTTCTACACTTGAATGCTAGCGATTACCTACTTCATCGTGATTGGGCTGTAAGTAGTTGTTGATTGAGATTTTCTTATTTATTCAAAATATTGATTTTTTGTATATGAGATTGTTTTGTTTATCTTCACTTATTTATTTTATTTAGATAGTAGTTCATAGTAGATGTAAATTGTTGGCTTGTACAAATGTTTGTTATTGTATTGAATAAACTTCACTTTGTGTTATTATTATTATTATTATTGTTCCCTTGGGTTCCTAGTGAAACATAGGGCTTCAACTGCACGTCTCCACTCGCTTCTGTCTTCTGCTGTGCTTTTCACCTGCATCCATGTTAGTCCATATTGTTTCAACTCTTCTTCACACGATCTCCTCCATGTCATTCTTACAGTGACGTCCCACTCGCCGCGTCCCTTTCGGCCTGGCTCCACTCGAGCAATGGCCTGACGCGCTGTCGATGTCACCCAGCGGTGGCCTCCTCAGCGAGTGTCCAATCCGTCTCTACTTTCTCCTGCATATTTGTTGGTTGGCGATTCGTTCTTGTTTTGTTTCGTTTTGTTTGTTCCCATAGTTTCTTGTTGGCGATCCTTTCCGGCTATCTGATCTTCAGTGTAGAGCTGTTGGAGGGGTTGGAAATATTCTTTGTGACCCGCCCGCCAAGTTTCTGATCCGTATAGAAGAACTGACTTGATTTTTCTATTGAAAATCCGAATTTTATTGTTGATACTGAGTGTGTCACTTGCACGCATATGTATGGGATAGGACATATAATTTAATATCTCAAGGCTTTTTAAATTTAATGTTTTAAGATGGGAATTCAAATGTATTAAACTGCACAACTTTGTGGATATCTTCATTAATAAGAAACATCTAAAGTTGTTTTACCTCAGAAATCTTTTCGATGTGATTACTTCTGTTCTTGTTGTGTTTCTTTACTACTATTTGTCATTTCAGTCTCGTCATTCTACTGGAGATAAAACGTCGGTTCCCAATTCTAGTAGTTCTACACAACGTACTTCATCAGTATTATTACCAAAACCAATTCAGCCAAGTACTTCAAGTAATAATACACCTACAACTGGAACATACTTATCTCAAATATCAAATGATTCACCTGTCGTTGTAACTAGTCAACAGCCAACATTGACAATGCATCCACCTTCAAATACTGTACAAGTTCTTGTTAATGGACAACCATCAACACTTCAGTTGAATTCATCTCTGGCTGCTTCACATCCTATCATTTCGTCATTACTAACAACAAGTAGTGCCGTTAAACCACCAATAACTTTAACGCAAAGTCCTAAATTAGTTTTATTACCACAAACAGGTGGTCAAAAAGTAAGTTCTTCTCTATTATAAATGACATTGAAATCTGTTTGCAATAATGTATGATAGACAAAAAGTATAATGTTAACTAATATATTATCGTAATATGACCTGAATTTTTGTGCGCAACACTTTGTTTATAAATCCCTGTTCAAGAATATAGTATTATTAAAACAAGTTGGTCACTGACTAATAATCAGTAGTATGTAGTTTAGTGGTCTAGTTTCAAAGCGATTGAATTCTACTGACAAAAGTATGTGGTTTAACTGATACTGATACGGCAGAAGACAAGAGACTTAGTAACGGACTTTTTTAATTAAGGAAAAACACACTATTAATATATGTGTAAAACTTGGACACTGTGGTAGTAAGTAATTCCCAAACTAGAACGAAATAGCTCTCCAGTACTCCCAGGTTTTTCTCAGTAGTTCTCTAACTGATGTCAGCTCATGATGAAATCCTTCATCCAAAGAAACAAAATCCTTACAAAACGAATACTTGAAAATTCCATATTAGTTTGTTTATTAGATATATCACACAGTGAAGAAACAGTATTATTTACCGGATGACATTCCAAACACAATCTGTTTATTGCTCATAATCATGTCAGTTATAATTACACAACTTAGAAACTTTCGTTTTATAGTCTTCTTTATTCTTTCCTATTTGCCGTAGGAATAGTAGAATTTTCCAGATATTTGACATCACCTAGTCGGTATATTTCTGTGAGTGTCACATGATCCAGCAACGCTTCTATATACACATAATATACCTTGATATGCATAATTTGAGATTAGAATATCTCACAGTATCTTCCACCGCAACGTTTAACAGCCCGTACGTGTTAATTTGTTTGATGACATTTGTTAGCCTAAAATGTTCATGTCACATATTAACTAGTTCTTGTTAGCTGATATAGTGTTGGCGTTCTTACTTAAACTCTACAAATGAATATCGCATATTCCACTGGTTACTATCATCAGAAAATGTCAAATTTAAAATTTAGACAGTATTAACGTATCCACTAAAGAATCCGAATCAATGTAACTATTGATTGTTTAATACTAACGGAAAGTAACCAGTATAAACATTCGACGTTAAAATACGCTTTTTTTATTAATTTAATGAGAGTTTAGAAACACCTCTTAATAAAGATGACTTCATTATTGATAGACTGTAACGTAACGTTTATTATTAGTGGAGTTTTGTGTTTATTGACATGGTTTTAAAATCGCATTTATATTTCAAATGTGATTTGTATAGTAGGTCAGTAATAATAATAATAGTGATCATCAGAGCACAGTGATCAGTTGATGTACTTTTTAAAAGAATCGAAATATGAGTATTTAAAATTGAAGCTTCTATTTTGATTATATGCTAGCTACGGAGGTTGTGGATACCTAGTCTATGGATTACCTTTTCTCACACCTACGCTGTTACTTACTTACTTACTTTACTTCGGCTATCTCCTACGGGAGGATGAGCCGGCTTCATGCACTCATGAAGTTTCATGGGAATTGGGTACGAGTGATGTCCCCAGCATCGCTCGGCCTTTTGTTTGAGAGTGCAGCTCTAGCCTTTACACAACCAAGTGCGGACCTACAAGGCAGTACGCTGTTGGCTATATATATATATATATATATGAGCGATGAATATCAGCTGTTCTATGGAAATCTGTAGTAGTGTAGCAACAGAAGACAAGGGTCAGGCAACAGACCATTTATTAAGGAAATCAACACATATTCAAGTGTTGGTTTGTAGGGATTTGATTGGTTTCAGGATTTCATCATGAGCTGACATTAGTTAGAGAACCATTGGAAAACCTGGGAGTACTGGACAACTGTTTCGTCCTAGTTTGGGACTCTTCATCAAACAAACCAACACTTGAATACCAATAAGATGGTCACTGGCGACTGGCCCTATTCAGGTAGGTAGTTACCTGGGTTCCAGTGAGAAGTCGTGACCAGTAGGATCCAGCGGGTCGGGTGTGAGGACAAATACTCGCCGAAGACATTGGCTAGCGGTCGCGCTATGTCGTGAATTGGCAGAAGTTAGAATTCAAGGACCACTGGACCGGGTCCCAGTGGCTGAATGGTATACGAGCTCGCTAGTCTTGTAACCAGAAGATCCTGGGTTCGAACCCTGGTAGGCTCGTACTGATGAAGAGTCCCGCACTAGGATGAAACAGCTGTCCAGTACTCCCAGGTTTTAATGGTTCTCTAACCAATGTCAGCTCATGATGAAATCCTGAAATCAACACAAATTTATAGATTTTCATGTACATATTATAGATTATTGTTGGCGGAGAAACACACTCTTCTGATCGGTTGTTTCTCACAGAAAGGTAATCCTTCATCTGTTTGTGGCTGTTTCCTGAATGTCAGATCATCTATATGCTAACTGTTTCCGCCTTCGCAAAGTCTGCTGTTGAATCAATCTTTGTCCTATTTTTTTCTCACGGCCGAGATTGGGGGTGTAAACATTGACGTAAATTACGGTCTACCAATTTAGCTAGCTCTCACCACAGTAGAGTAATCAATATTTCATTTAGGACTTCATTAAATTGTTATCTCCTGTAAGCATATTACCACAAGACCACGGCAACTGCTCTTTTATCTAAATAATTACAACTATAATGCCTAAACAGCAAGCCTGTAACTTTACGAAGTCTTTTTTTATGAATCCTCACAAAACGACTTGAAAATCCTGAGAAAATATACATGAAAGTAATAGGATTGGCTAAGAAACGTTATCATTTAGTGTTGTGTTTAATCCTCTCTCAACTTGCTACAGCCTGTAAACAGTATATACTAAGAGTTTTTTCATAGTCCAGTACATGAAAGTGTAAATAGGACAACTGGATTGTGCTGCTTTTCTCATCTAACCTCATCTTTTCATATTTCTATTATGGACCAAAATGGTCAATATTGTTCTCAACAACTTTGTATTAATTTAGGTGCAAGTTCCTATTGTTGAACGCCAACTGGATCATGAAAGACAACTGACAACATCTATAACGCCAACTCAAACATCTTATATCCCATTACTAGCAAAGCAAACAACTGTATCCTCTAAAAGTGTCTCGTTCAACTTAACCAATGTAACAATTTCAACGACTGTAACAACAACCACTCCAACAATATCAACTTCTATTTATCCGGTGGTAGAAAATGAGAATCCTCCATGTGTACCACCATCATCTTTAAAATCATTGAAAGCATTTAACGCACGTCGTAAAAAGAGTACTGCATCACAAGTGCATAAACATTTAAATGAAAATTCTCCCGTAGATAAAGAATTACAATCAAAATTACAACCGGCTAGTACAATAGCTTCAAGCGGTTTTTGGCCATTGCATAATACTGTATCACATTCTCCTGCAATTCAGTCGTCGTCCAACTATCCAATGCAAACATTTCAGGTAATTCATTTTGTTATTTTGAATGTGTTTTTTTTCATATTGAAATTGACTATTATGATCTCAAATATGAACTGTCTAATTTCTTTTTTGTTATATTCCAGCAATCATATGTTTGTTGTTTAGAATGTTAATTTTTGTTAGTATCTGTATATCTGAATTGTGTTTTTTTTTGTAATGGCGTTTAACACGAAAACTAAGAGTACTTGAAAGTTCCTAGTAAATTTACATGAATATACGTAAAATTAACAGGTTAGTTAAGGATGCAAATTTAATGGAGGAAAATGTCTTTTTAAAATATGCATTGATCACCATGTTCCCATACATTTTATAATAAATCGATCTTTTAATTCCAAAAAGAAGAGTGAATATTGAGGCTGATAAAGCCATTGTTAACAAAGTAGCAGTGAATCAATTTCGTCTTTATTGGGAACTGTCTAGTAGTCCATAGCCAACACTCCATCAGTCATGAAGTCTAAGATTGTCTGTTTTCGACATAGAACTTTGCACCGATGTGCGGCAGTTCAAGTCGCCGCACTCTCTCCATGTAGCACACAGAGCAAGAGAAGAAATTAGACGAAATGCATAGTAGAGACAGTAGACAGGTATATGAGACAAAGGAATAGTAATAACGAAGAACAATATAGTTTCATTGGAAATCATAAGTCACAAGGAGTGGATGCATCTGCGCCAGCCATTGAGAACGATTTTGAGCCATATCACAAATTGTTTCCAACCATTGGACCCCAACCAGGAAGTCTACATCTTCCTACATGACTGGCTTAAACTAACTGTTGTGAATTTCATTGACTGGTGCCATGTTTTGGTTTGACCGCCTCTAAGCTCTTTTCCAGCCTGACCCTATGTCAGCTAACATTGCCCATTGTCGAGGAAGGCGATGACTAGGCATACATAGCACATGTCCTAGCCATCTCAATCGATGTAGTTTCACAGCCTCGTCGATTGATTTCCTCTCTCTACCTAGGACTCGACTGAGGCCTAACTTCAATATTGCTCACCTTATAATACCACTTCACATGGGAGATAGAGCGAAGTCTAAAATTACCAAGTCTACTTTCTATATACTTATAATGATAATGATAATTGTAGTAATAATAATAAAGCTTTATTTCAGATAATATGCGAATATATGGTGTAAAAATTTTCAGGGTATTTAGTTTCAAAATATTTTTTCCTTCATACAGGATTTACACATAAAGTGATAATCTGAAGGATATCTTCATTTCGTTGAAGAATTCTACAGTGTTCACTTGGAATCAAGTTAAATCAGAGCGCACGTCCATGTAAAGGTCCTTTGATTTAACTGGACGATTAAGAAAACACTTATAGACTCAGATAAAAATTGAGCATTTTAGTGGAAAGCAATTTCCATAGCTCACTGATTCAAGCAAGTCGTCTATTAAACTATGCCTACTTTGTTGTTTTTTCTCCTCTAGGTACCTATTAACAACCATGCACAGCAAGCTAACGCTAATGTAGCATTAAATTATAATAATAATGTTTTCAATCCACAGGCATCACAAATTTTATTACCGTCAGCATTAACTCTAACATCACCGTCAATGAATCAAACAACTCTAAATGATAAACTACCTCATATTTATAATGTATCCGGTTCATTTTCATCTACATCAAATCAGTCACCTGTAATATCATTTGTTACAAAATCTAAAGGTGCTTCGAGTACAGATGTTACTATAGAAGATTTACTATTAACATCTACAGAAACTAATCAATCCTCATCATCATCGTTATACAGTAATGATACACTTGCCTCCCTGTTGAATACTATTTGTGTACGTTATGCATCTATACCGTCATCATCATCAACATCTAATCTTGATCATCAAAATATCTCAGATGATACGTCTAGTCGTTCAACTGATAATAATATTACTACAGCAGTAGAAACACCTGTATTGAATTTAAATACAAAAGTCGATGAATCCGTTTCATTTAAAATGGAAGAGGATAGGGAATTTAGAACTACTGACTCAGTGTGTAATTATCCACCAGGTTCTCCATCAATTGGGGGTGATATTTCATTCACGGATTCAATGGCTGGTAAGTAATAATAATAATAATAATAACTTGCTTTATTCCAAAACAGTACTTGTGATACAGAATGGAATTCTCAGCAATTTTACTACAGTATCGCATCCAGTTAGTACATTATCAATAAACAAAATTCTACATAGATTAAGGTAATCTCAGTTCGTTATGACAACAACATATTGGTATGTCGGTAGCAAAGTCAAAAATTGAATAGAGTGTTTGAAGTTGTTAGAAAAGTAGATGGTAGCATATTTACTGGCGTAAGCAGAGGAAATAAACAAAGCGGCACATAACAGAGAAAAAGAGAGAAAAGGAAAAGAAAGTAAGAAAACGTTGTACCTATAAAAGATATTAATTGGAAAGACGAGATCCAGTTGTTCTACTGACTACTTTATAAGTTACAGCTATCACGCTTAATGCTTTCTTTATCGCACAGAACACGAGCTAATTAGGGTATGGTTGAGTTTTTGTACTTGCTAGTGTGAGCATATAGTTTTTTATATAGACTTCTGGTTCTCCCTGATGAGATACAAGAGGAGAGTTGTGAATGAAGAGGGTGGTGTGAGTTAGATAAAACGGATTTTGCCCATTTTTCACATGAGTCCAAGTGCCTGTCGACCAGAATATTAACAAGCTGGTTAAGTGGCACGTTGCTTACCCTGTTGACAATTTTTCACATCCTGCGTAATAAGGTATAGTCTTTCTTCAGTTGCATATCAGTGTGTACTCCTATGAGTAAGCTACAGGAAAAATTGAAAACTTCTTGTAAAGTAAATGCGTACGTGAATTTTGAGGAAGGTGATTTGATCAGTATTACGTTCAAATGACGATTTGTTTTGACTGACTGGATACAACGCAGAACTTTGCACAAATGTACAGCAGTTTGAGTTGCCACACTCAATCTAGCACACAAATCAAGAGAACAGAGTAGAGATAGATTCAAAAGAGAGAGATAATAGACAGAAGTATGAGGCAAACCGAATGGTAATATGGAAGAACAATATAATTTTATTGAATATGTTAAATCATAAAGAGTGGATGCATCTGCGCCAGCCATTGAGAACGATATTGAGCCATACCACTGATTGTCCTCAGCCACTCGTTTTTACCATCCCGAGGATGTCTACACCTCCCTACGTGATTGACTGAGACTAACTAATGCCATGTTTTGCTTCGACCACCAGTGGCTCTTTTCCAACCTATGTCAGCTAACATTGCCTGTCGAGGGAGGCCATGTCTAGACATACGCAACACATGTAACCATATCAGTCGGTGTGACTTCACAACCTCGTCTATTGATTTCCCCTCCTTACCTCAATATTGCTCACATTATTATACCACTTAACTCGGGAGATAGGACGCAGACACCTATGATAAGAGATAGCTAGCTGGCATTTTCATGTCTTTCACTTTCAATGGCCATGTCTTGCTCACAGCCATAAAGGATGACGGAGCGGACTGCTGAGAAGTACACACGCCCTTCGGTCGACAGCCAGCCGGATATCACGTCTACGCAAGAGATGGCGTTAGTTGGCCGGCATATACCAAACGAGCCTTCTGTTTCCGTGCTGAGATTCCATTAGCCATCAACCTGTTGGCACTGGCTGATGCAACTTTACAAATAAGTGAAGTGGTCAACAGGCTCTATCACTTCCCGATTCATTCGGTTCTAGAAAAGGGAATAAAGGAAATGTATCCCTGTGTCCAATTTTCAACCGTGTCCGTTTTACTCTCAAAGAGCTCGTAAATATCCTTCCAAAAGGCAGAAATCATCTCAATGAACACAGTTTGTCAAACTCATTTGGTTTTTTAATCCAAAAATTTAATGTTAATATATACCATGTTATGGCTGTTTGTTGATAGCTTTCATCCGTATGATAGATATATTGATGATACATTCCTATACTATGCGGATACTCATATCGAAGTCATAATGAAGGACTTCAGTAGCTGTTATCATTAAGTTAAGCTCACATAAGAGTTCGAGGACAAATAGTTACTTTTTTTCTCAAATGTTTCTCTTAAAAGAAGAATTAATGATTGTCTTCTGTAAGAGATAAATACCAGAATGTGCACGGTTAAAGCAGAAGTCATTTATCATTCTGAGTGTAAACTCAGTGTACATAAAACATTGCTTATCTCACTAGTGTTCTACTCTCCTTCTTACTGGAATTTCTTTTGTTAATAATCAATTCACTGAACTCGCTTTTAAAATTATCATTTAGAGAACCATTGGGAAATCAGTTATGAGCACAGGATAGCTGTTTCGTCCAGGTTTTAGATTCTGGTTTTTTAATCAATGTCACCTCTTGATCAGACCTGCTACCAATCAAATCGTTGCAAACCAACACTTGATATTTTTGTGCCTTTGTCTTTTCCTTCATACTTTTCAAGTAGATGCAATTAACTTCACATTTATTAACACTTCCTTTACTTTCATCACCTCTGAATCATATGTAATCAACTCCTGTAATCCATCCTATTACTACTATTGTGTAATCTTTTTTGCCTGTTTTTTTCCTCCCCGTTCCCCAGTGGGACATAGGACTTCAAGCTACATGCTTGAAGTTTCTGTAGCAGTACTGTTTATTTTACAGGATGGGGTTCCTAGCCTCATGCTCAACTTTTCCTCTTTACCAGCATTATTTCTGGCTTAGCGAGGTAAAGGAGTGCGTCTGTGGCTGGGGATCGAACTCTGGCCCATGTGCATGGTCGGCGAGCGTCCTAACCGCTATGCCTATTGCTATTCTCTAAATATAAGTGTGATTATTTATCTATTGAAGATGCTATGGTCGCTAAAGAAATTTTTATTTCCTTAATTGTCTATCGTTTTCCTCATGATTGAGAATTCATTTAGAATAAATTTTATTACTATTTTTCTTTAAATTTCAGCTGCTGTGATGGATGTACATCACATGCAGTTAGACCATTCAGATGAAGAACGTAATACTACAGATGCTCAGCCTGGATCACTTAATTTTATGACTTCGAATATCGCGATTCACCCTGATGTCTATTCTCTAGGGACATCATACGAATCTGTAAGTTTGTTGTAACATCTATAGTATATTGGTAAATTTCGTAATGTGTCACTTGAAGCTTAAAATTATATCTCAACGTCATCCAGAATAGACCTGTAACAGTTGTCAGGTAAAATTAAAGTAACTAAGCATAATGCTAAATTATTGCATTATAGGAATATCATTCTTCTCGTGCTTTCAAAATAATACTGTATGCATCACAGATTGTATGTGATTACCAATAACCAAGAACCTTAAACAGTATTTGTATTTATTGCTTTTTCAGAATTGTAGACAAGACTAATCGATTGACTCCCAGCTCGCCTTGTAACCAGAAGGCCCTGGGCTCGAATCCCAGCGGGTGCGAACTGATGAAGAGTCCCAAAGTAGGACGAAACAGCTATCCATTACTTCAAGGTTTTCTAATGGTTCTCTAACTGATGTCAACTCATGATGAAATCCTGTAAAACTCACTAGTGTTATAATATGTTATTTATTTAGGCCCAATATAGGAATAATCCTATAAATGCTATGATAAGCTGATACTTTGGTAAGTTATTAGGAAAATGACTGGTATATCTTCCTCAAGGTTCAAATACGGCATAAGAGTTGACTAAAGTATGCTAAGATTAATTCGTTTCTAATCGGGCATAAATTCATTTCGTTTAAGTTGATAAAGTGTGAAAGAATGAACGTGTCTTCTTCGCGTAACTAACATTACTTGAGTTTTAGTTTATGTAGAACGACATAATAGACACTGTCAGTTGACGAAACTGACATACCGACTCACAGCTTAGCGTGACTAAAAAACACAAGACAAGGTCTTTAACAAATTTACGCCAGCCTCAACAGACTGATGCCGTACTCATAGGCCAACAGGACAAATTAGTAGTAGTAAAGCTTTAGTTTTTGCATGTATATCAAGTCTTTCTGTACAGTATAAACATTCAGAAATTGTTTAAATATATTTATTGATTAGTGGATAATAAAAAAGAAAGTAGTCCAAAAAGTGTAACATAGGCTTACTAATTATTATTATTATAAATTCTTAGACTTTCTTGCTTCAAACAACTAGTTAAATAAATATTTGTATCATGATAAATAGTTCTTGAAAACTGAATTAAGCGACAAGATTTCAGAACCAAGCGGTATTCGTAGCATCCTTATAAATGTATGAATTAAATTTGATTTTATTCAGGTTTAAATTTCAATTAAAGGCCACAATGATCACCTGACTCATCATTACACTCAAAGAGATCACTTACTTTTTTTAAGTAGGTGTCTTCTCCTTTACTATGTAGAGAAAGATGCGTATGTAGTACGTTTTAGTTTGTTATACACGGTCAAATGGTAAACGAGTTCATGTCAAATGTGGTTAGAGAAAATCGGCAGGAAGCCTTGGACCTTGGTTTTGGGTTTCTCAGGATGACATATCTGCAACCTTCATGGAACTGATATCTCCTTTGAGATTCGAGGCCGCGTCACCCAGTTCTGCAGTCACAGATGTTGCTGCTGACTAACTAATGTCATGCGCCTAGCCCTTGATGTCGATACAGACTTAATTCTATCAGTCAAGTGTGAAATGTCGTCGCTAAATCTAGGTGGCTCGTCATCGTGATCCACGCTGATAAACGAAATCATTTACGACGAAAGTTTCTAAACACTTTCCAACATCAGGAGTCTGTGATGCACATAATAATAATAGTCTTTGATATTAGTTAAAGTTATTTAATATGGCACTGTACTCTACAACCATAACTTGAATTAATATTAATCTGTATGTCTTTTTTTTGTCTACAGGTTTTAGGAGACAAAGACATAAAAGTTACTCAGTGTAACAGTATGAATCATTCTGATTACAAGGGTATTTCCAATGTTGAAGTATTTTTACGAATGAATACACCACAGTCGAGTCAAAATTCATCTGGTATTATCTCATCCACACCAACCACAAGTAATGCATCACTATATTGATTTGTGTTAATAATGATGAGCAGTCAGTTAATGAAATTATGTATAGAATGATTTTTTTTAAAAAACTACTATTCATCTTTTCTCTATGCATTTCTCATTATTACGCAATGACATCTTTAGCATGAAAGACCGAAAAAGATTACGTAATACTCTTTATCACTTTCGATTCATGCAAAAATCTTGAAACTATTTATCATTGTGCAATACTAATGACCATATTAAATTGTGTGTAACGCTGAAATCTAATATATCACTTTTACTTGCATCAACATTTGTTTTCGATATATAGTACAGATAAAGAATAACTTTTAAGTTGCTATAAGTATAAAAAATATCCACTTACCAGGGTAAAGAAAGACTGATAACCACTTCTTTCTGGACGCATAAATCAGGTTTCAGGCGCAATCAAAAATCGATAGATATACTTCTTATGGTAACTCCAACTCTATATACAAATTTACATGTGGCTGACAAAGGCAAAAGAGATGGAAAAAGCATCGGCGATAGGCAACTCTTTAGACTCATCAGGGGAACGGGTGGGAGAAGGCAAATCATAAGTGAGACTATTTCTGAGAAAAATGGCTCCTTAATTAGCTCTCAGGATAGACGCCTTGAACGCTGGAAAGAACACTTTGAGGGACAATTTAACTTGCCTACAGCCACACTGAACCTCCCCGACATCCACCACACACCCGAATGGGATATAGACACTGGTCCGCCGTCTGTAAGTGAGGTCACAAAAGCTATCAGTAATTTGAAACGAGGCAAAGCGGCAGGACCCGACGGAATTATTCCGGAGGTGTTTAAATATGGGGGTGACATACTAGTTTGTAGATTAACTGAGGTACTAGGCAAAGTCTGGGAATCAGAGACAGTTCCATCAGACTGGGGTAAGTCACTTATTATACCGATATTCAAGAAGGGAAACAAGTCCTCGTGTGATAATCATAGGGGGATCAGCCTAACGAACATAGTCTCTAAAATCCTAGGCTCAGTAATCATGCATAGACTAAGCAGAACTCGGGAGGAACAGACAAGGGAAAATCAAGCAGGCTTTAGACCAGGTAGAGGGTGCATAGATCATATCTTCACTCTTCGACAGATTCTAGAACATAGACACACTTTTCGGCGTCCAACAATTGTCATATTTCTTGACTTGAAGGCGGCCTTCGACTCCGTGGATCGAAAGGTACTATGGCAATGTCTGACTGTGAAGGGAGTGCCAAGAAAGTACATTGCACTAATCAAGGCACTCTATTCAAACTCACGTAGTCGTGTAAGGGCTTATGGGGAATTGTCATCTGAATTGGTAACAACCAGTGGTGTCCGACAGGGATGTCCACTTTCCCCATTTCTGTTTAACTTCATCATAGATATGCTGATGGAAGTATCCTTAACTGAACGTAATGACTTAGGAATCGACTTGTTACCAGGGAATAGTCTTATGGACTTAGAATATGCAGATGACATAGTCCTGTTAGGGGAGGATGCTGACAAAATGCAGAGTCTTCTGAACACCTTGAGCAGCAATCTTCGTATGTTTGGCATGCGATTCGCCCCTACAAAATGTAAGATGCTGCTACAGGACTGGACCACGTCAACTCCTAACTTAGTGATAGGGAGTGAAGTGATAGAACATGTTGACCACTTCACCTATTTGGGAAGTTGTATTAGCACCAACGGACTGATTGGCGATGAAATCTCAGCACGGATCCGAAAAGCTCGAGCTGCTTTCGCTGACTTACACCATCTCTGGCGTAGGCGTGACATCCGGTTATCAACCAAGGGACGTGTGTACTGCTCAGCAGTTCGCTCCGTCCTTCTCTATGGCTCTGAAACATGGCCAATACGAGTTGAAGACATGAAAAGGTTGACTGCTTTCGATCTCTGTCTCACGTTAGGTGGTTTAATAAGGTAAGTAATGTTGACGTTAGGCGTAGAGTGTTGGGCAAAGAGGGAAAATCAATCGACGAGGCTATAAAGTTACATAGACTGGGATGGCTAGGTCACGTGCTGCGCATGCCTAACCATCGCCTCCCCCGACGGGCATTGCTAGCTGATATAGGTGGTGCAGGTTGGAAAAGAGCCAGTGGTGGCCAAACAAAAACATGGCATCAATCCATGAAATCCTTGACAGTTAAACTGAGTCAGGTAGGGAGATGCAGACTTCCGGGTTGGGGCCCTCGGGACTCTAGGAATCAATGGCTGGAGACAATAGGTGACATGGCTCAAAATCGTTGTCAATGGCCAGCGCAGATGTATTCAGTCTCTGTAATCTTTCATATTCCTTTCTACCATTACCCATTCTGTTTCACTCTTATACTTGTCAGACTGTATTGATTCTCTTCACTCATCTTCTTGTCTACTTTTGTGTGCTATTTGGAACGTGGCAACTCGAACTGCTGCACTTCGGTGTGAAGTTCTATGTTGAATCCAGACAGACAGACAGATACAAATTTACATGTATCTGCGGGAGCAGTTACATCGGAAGGACAGAAAGAAGGGCATATTTAAGATTTTCTGAACATGTACCAAAAGGCTTACGTCTAAAGGGAACAAATGCTTTAAACAGTGCCATCGCCAGGCATCTCCTCGACACGGGTCATGAGGTGGATGTCGAAAAGTCGTTCAAAATTATCAATAGGCAAAAGAGCTCAATTCTCCTTAAGTTTGCTGAAGCCATTTCCACCATCAAGCGCCTGAAACCTGATTTATGCGTCCAGAAAGAAGCAGTTATCAGTCTTTCTTTCCCCTGGTAACTGGATAATTTTCATCTCTCTTTCTTCCGAATGCGAAACGCTGAAAAGTTTCCACTGTGTATGATTATTATTGTTCGGAATAATGTTTAATATTATATATATATATATTATTAGTGTGTGCGTATATTGATCGATTGATTGTTGTTTAAAATGAACTCTGTGCAAGTACGTTAAAATTGTTTTTGTAGATATATTTAATAATGTCCTTGCCCTGTGAGCAGCTGACGAGAAGGCAACGAAATACAAGATGGTACCTCTTCATTCTGCTAAAACTGTAGTTCTGGCTTTGTTCAAATAAGTATAAAACTTGGGCACTGATAGAGTGTAACCTTATTATGGATGACGTCGTCTGCAATTGGTAGGATGCTCAGCTTGGTGTTTTGGGACTGTCGGTTCGAATCCCTCCATGACATAAATATTCATTTCACCTTGACTCACTAACGATTAAATCAAATAAATGTGCATGTGATCTCCATTTTCAGATATAACCTTTCGGAAAAACAGATAAACTAACATAGGTGCCTGATGTTTCATTATTCAAACTAAAAGTACGTTATCGGCAATTATGAGTTTCGGAGGAACTTTGCTGTACTGTTACAGTTGCCTGTATGGAAGATAATCGTGATATATTCAACTAGTGATACTGAGAGATTTTTTGTTATGCAAGCCTAATCAATATTGATTGAAGTTGGAACTGCACAGTGAAGGCATTAGTTCGGATTTTCAAAATGACATTAGTCTCTTTCAAATTTTGTAAATAAATACCATTGTAGGCGGTTCTTTTCGACTTTTAATTTAAACCAATCACAACATGCCAAAAATTTCTGCGACAACACAAAGGGAACAAGCTGATTATAGACTTAACTAACTCTAAGTAAACGCGCTTAAAACACGATAATGTAGGGAATTCAGGTCATCATGAGGTTTTGGCTGTTCTATCTTTGAAAGTAGTGGGTTCGAAATAATATTAGAAACAGTTTTCGTCATTTTATAAATTTCACTTCATAAGGAGAAAGCAGTACAAAAATTAAGCACTGCGGTTGCATATTTGCACAACAGACTTCTTGATATAGTATTATTTCTGGTGACATTCTTAGACAATTTAGATACTTATTTCTTTTCACCTTGTTTGCCGCAGTTGAAGAGAAGCCTCGAAATAAAGTAGGCATGTTTTATATTGAAACCCTTGTTCTTCTGGCTTTGACGAAGACCTTACTCTTTATTTTTCCAATTTAATTGGTAAGACTAATTTCTCCACATCGGTGGTTATGCACGAAACCTAACTCCTGTTGGAGAAGGGTTCAAGAAATGATTAGAATATAGCAATTACCAAATCTTGTGACGATGTATGCTACTGACAACATTTATAAGTAGTATATAGATGTAGACATAAATGTGTATGACATCTGCAAGAATATCCAGCAGTGAAGAGATGGATTTAACAACGATGTAAAGAAATGAATGATGCTTGTGAAACATGAAAGGAAAACAAAGAAGCACAGTAGTGAAGATAGAAGTACCGCAATACCGAAGATATGTGCAAACTGTGATTATAATATATGGCAGACATATTTTGTGTATGGAGTTGCCAACAAATGATTCCGTTACCAAATCCTCTTGTGTTCAGTCGCTACACGATTGTTATGGATCAGTTCACGTGTAAAAATCATAATACTAATGAACGCAATTACAAATATAATTAAGATGGTTAGAGCCAACCGTGTAAATCACATAAAACTATCTCCGGTTGAGTCTAAACGTGTTCATTTAATGCGTAAAAATTAATCATTTTAGTAGAATACACATTGCACTTCGAGGATTCATTCTTTAGGAACACTAAAACACATAAGCTGTATCAATACTTAGCATTCATATTATTTTCACTTTTTGATTGAAGGTGGAAGTTATGGAACTTGTATTAAACCCATTGCATGCTTGTTAAAGGAGTTAGTTGAATCATTACTACAGTTTACCCGAATCCTATAAAATTCCCGACCGTTTTGTAACACACATTAGGAACTGGTTGTATGGAATAAAAATGAATGTTATACACCACACAGACTGAAGGGAGTGTTTAAAATTTCCTGTATCAGTATACGAATTAACGAGGCTCTAAAATAGTCAGAAAAAGCATACCGATCAAAGAGGTCATGCTAGAAGTTCAGTTGCATTTGAAGTTTACACTTTTCACATTTCAACATAAATTATAAACAAATGAGGCAGTAATGAGGTCACCATGTGTAAAGCTTGCATTATTTATGTGAAATAGCACTCTTATTACTAAAAAACGAGTGAACTATGGTAATGAAATGAGGTTATGTAAGCAAAATGTCGCGATGAATAATAAAATGTATCTAAAAATCATGAAATAAAGTGGTCTGTTATCTGATTACATTCTACGGAAGCGCCGAGGCTATTATCACTTCTTAAACTTGTTCAACAGCTACATAACAACGCCACATGTAAAGTGATTCATAACAAAAAACGCAGCAAAGCCCTTAAAGTGGGGACAGAAGTAAAACATGGAGATTTATTATCACTGATTGTGGCGGACTGGATCATACCTCTGACCGTGGGAAGAGGGAAGACAGGAATCCACTGGGGCGACGGGAACACTCTAGAAGACTTGGTATTCGCGGACGATTAATGTCTAGCGTCCCACAAACTCGAAGATCTACAGATGGGAATCAAAAGGTTGCCAGAGAAGACAGGACCTAAAGTTAACATAGAGGTGACAAAGATACTTGACTGACAACAAGCACCATCAACGGGAGAAATCTAAAGGAAGTTACCTCACTCACTTATTTAATAAGTAACATTTCAACTGCAGCAGGCATATATGAAGATGTCTAGTGCAGGATTGGAAAGGCAAAGCAGACCTTCAATACTAATGTCAAGTCAGTTCTTGTATATGGTTGACAGAATTGGCACACCAAGCAAAGCATTCCCAACAGCCAGCTGCAGACCTTCATCCGCGGCTACCTCCGCTGGATATTGAAGACCCGATGGTCGAAAAAGGATAAGGAACTAGGAATCCCGGCAACGAACCTACCGAAAACCCAACAAATATGGCAATGTAGATGGATCAGACACATGCTGAGTGACATTACGCGCTGAAATCTCGAGCAGAATCCGGATGAGAAACGATCCAGTTGGGAGTCCGGGAGCGTGGAGCCAATACAACGTCGGTTGTAAATTAAACATGTCTTGTTTCTCAGTAGTCAACGTTAAATTTCGTAAAAAAAGACGCAGAAAACAAAATCTTAAAGTGAAAGCTTTATGATATATAACTTGGAAAACGCCGGTATTCTGACGACCGAGTTTTTCAAGTTAATAAAAACAAACATTAAATACAACAAAGCTAAACAGAATTGTGGGCTGAGCATACATATATAAAGCATACGATATATGTCACATAACTGGGACATATATATATATAGATTGTTCGTTGTACTTCAGTTGTGTTTTTTCAAATGATTCTTCAATCCTTTAAAAGTACCACCTATGTTATGTTGGGTTTCTACCACAAAGAGTTTGATGCTCCACCTGGAGGTTGTTTAGTACGAATAGCTGTGCGAATTGGACGACCATCATCGTATTGCGCACCTGACAAATGAGTAAATAAATAAACTATTTATAGGAGTTTAATGACTTTTAATTTTTTCATAATGAATATGAAGTAAATACTGCTCATTTCAAAAACAAATTATCTTGACTTTCCAAGCCTATACCTGTAACCATTACAAAAGTCAAAAACTTTACCACCAGTTTCCAGAGTGAGTTAGCTTTAATATATAGGTAAAACCTGGGCACTGTGGTAGTAAGTAATTCCATATCAGTTTGTTTATTAGATATATCACACAGTGAAACAGTATTATTTACTGGATGACGTTTCGAACAAAAATTTATTGTTCATAATCATATCAGTTGTAATTACACGACTTCGAAACTTGAGTTTAATAGTTTTCTTTGTTTTCTCCTATTTGTCGAAGGGGTAGTAGAATTTTCTAAATATCAGGGACAGGTGATGAATCATTCCTATTACATGTATTTGCAGGTGATTCAATAAACAAAGCTTATGTTATCAATTTCTCCCTCCATCCTGTGACATTAGATTTGTGAACACGGCCGCACAGCGGTAGTTCAACTTCAAACTTTAACGGCTTCTTGCCGGCTGTCTTTCTACTAACAATTGGTTACAAATCTCGTAACATAATAAATATGGCTAAGATATTAGCGCGTGCGTCGGTGGCATAGCGGTTAGTACGCTCGCCGACCATGCACATGGTCCAGAGTTCGATCCCCAGCCACAGACGCACTCCTTTACCTCGCTAAGCCAAAAATAATGCTGGTAAAGAGGATAAGTTGAGCATGAGGCTAGAAACCCTATCCTGTAAAATAAACAGTACTGCTACAGAAACTTCAAGCATGTAGCTTGAAGCCCTATGTTCCACTGGGAACGTGAAGGAAAAGAAAGATACTAGCGCACAAATACTTAGATTATTTAATGGGTTGCATTTCATTTTCTTTGCATCAATGTGTTTGGACAAAATATGAACTTTTAAAACTATGTCAACACTTCACTTGTTATATATATAATTTGCTTAATTTGATGTAAGACGATTTGAATTGGCGCTTTATCAAATAACTCTACCTAATCTTTTCGAAAGATATTAAATTTTCGACACGTAATTCACACTTTCTTTAATACTGTTCTCTATATAGTTACATAAATAAGTAGAAAATGTATTTCATCTAATTAATTCTGACTAGTGTGAATCAATGATGGCTATGATTATGCATCAGTATATGATGCGATACTATTTCATCGTATACAGAGATAACGTCTGTTGCAACATACACTTAAATACTGAAATTTGAATAGAGGCTTTTTTCGTATAAGTTAACACAAATGCTAGCATCTACTTTTCTAACACCTTCACAAACACTGTTCAATTTTGGCTTTGCTACCGATATGCTAATATGTTGTCCAAATTAACTGAGACTGCCTATAATCTATATATAATTTTATTTATTGATAATGTACCAACTGGATGCAATGCTGTAGTAAAATCCTGAGAATTCCATTCTGTATCACAAGTACTGTTTTGGAATTAAGCAAATTATTATTATTACTACCGATACTGCATTAGTGTGCTTTTATTAAATACATTTAGAGTATGATGTGAGTGAACTGTTACTCGATCACAGGTCGAAACATGATTGTTATAATATGCATTATATACAGCACTAAAGATTGAAAACATTTATTCCCAGTAGGAATTTAAAACCAGAAACAAACGTTAGTAAAACAGGATTCAAGTCTTGGTAGAACTCTTCAGCTGTATACCACAAAGTTATATATATATATATATATATATATATATATATATACCATTAGGGAAAACATTTGGAGACATTTGACTGGTAAGTAAATAAACTATATTCAATGCAAAACGAGAGGAGTGAATGTTTTTCAGGTGATGTTCAGGTAGGTAGGAGGAAGGGAGAGACTAAAATTAAGATAATAATGCACTACGGTTCAGTTACATCACTTGAATAAACAATTGGTTATCAGAGAAAAGACTTAAAGATATAAAGGATTGCAAACTGTATAATATTAATAATAATAACGCGTTAAGATGATGGTACTGGCAAACGATAGTTTTAAATGAATCAAGAATAATAATGCGGCAGATGAAAAATATCAATAATAATAATAATAACACTTAATAAGGTAAAACATTTTAACATGATGGATTCAGAGTGATGACCCTTTCTTTCTGTACACAGAGACCTCGTTCATAAAATCTGATTCCACAAGCCTCTGTAAATGCAAGCATCCTTCTGTTTGTTTCTCTGTTGACAACATTGAAAAACTTGACAGCGTCAATATCATGTCAGTAGTCTGTAAGATGCTTTTTTATTGGAGTTTTTGATACTTTGACTTCAGATTTTTACAACCACTTAGGCAAATGCTTCACCATGTGAATGGACAATCGCCTTTTCGTATGACCTATGTATTCGCTTCGACAAGCACCCTGAAATTTAGGTGTGTAATGAACTTTTATCTGAATTTTAATCTCTCGTACTCACTTAACAGTATCTATCAGAACATCACCCGAAAAATATTCACACCTGTCGTTTCCGATTGAATGTAGTTTATTTACTTTACCAGTCATATACCTCCCAGTGTAATTCTAATGGTATATATATATATATATATATTGGATGTGAACACACTCTCAAAGACAACCGTGTGTACAGCTCAAATGACCAGATACCATGACTTTATCAGATGTCTTCAATTTTTAAGCTTGTATGACGTTGGAAGCATGGGCAGTTTTAACGTTTATGAGAGAAACGATTATTATTCCAATACCACTAGCTATATATCTGTACAAACATCCAACCTGCATTTCATATTCACAAGCAAGTTTTTTATACACAACTGGCAGGAAGAATGTAGGTGCCTGAATAAATCAAGTGGTTTACATCCAACTGCTTCATTTTTCATGAAATTGTGACAATGTCAATCATGTAGAGATTGACAGCCATGGAGTTTTGTGATTTTTCATATTCGGATGAAAATTATGAAAAACTTAACGGAGATAGATAAATTAACGGAAAACTCATACCACTCAGAGAGAAACTGGATTCTTGCATGTTTCGACCACCTGAACGTGTTGGGGAGCGTGGACGTAAACCATCACCATCAGGTCCAACCGGCATTTTATCTGTACCATTTTTGACACCGACATCTTCAGTTGGCACAGTGAATTCAGTAGATACGGGACCGTTGTATGGGTCACGCATAATTGGTTTAACTGATCGTAGCTAAACAAACACAATAATACGGAAACCATAGTTTGGTTTTGTTTAATGAAGGATGATATCAGTAATCAAAATCTGAGGTACTTTGGAATAAATATGCAAAGATATAGGGAAATTTCATTCGCAGTCACTTGAACTGGTAGTAATTGCGTTGCTGGTTGCAAGTCACTTCATATGATATAAACGTTCTTATTGTCATAAAGTGACGATAACTTTTGAAAAGCAAAACACTTGCACAATTACCATAATTTTCCGTTATCAAGAACTTAAAGAGATATGACATCAACTGTTGATAGTGGGCTTTCAACCAAACTTGGTGGTTTACCCTTAGAAATATTTAGACACTGCAGTCAGAAGTGAAGTAGAATTTTAAATTTAAGAATCAAAAGTAGTGCTACCTCATCAGTCTAAATATTCAATTATCCCGTTTTACGAGAAGCGGAGGAATCTTTCTGTAAGAATCATGAGAGCATTAGCTTCGCTGAAACACTGTACGATATCCTCAGGTAACTTAAAGGAAGCTAACCAACAGCAAAAACGCAAAATCTAAATGAGTTTAGTGTCAACGTTTCTAGTCAAAATATGCCTTCACTAGACATAGTCTTGATGTTTACGAACGTCCAATTAACTGAAAAATATTCCGCATGTTTGGAGACAGCGATTTACAGGGACTAAACATTGGAACACTTACTTATTACTTGCAGGAACTTCTATCGAGATGTATCCTAAATGTCCAATTGTCTTCTAATATTGAAATTTATAGACAAAATCATGGTGTGACAATAGGCTCACCACTAGACCCGTCGCTTGCAGACTTCACGTCGAAACTCAAAAACGCATATTTGTGGAAAAAAATACTTTTGGATTTTACAAGACATACGTGGATGACGCTTTATTATCGCCAATAATGAAGAGAATTTAGATATTCTACATTTTTTCAACATCTGCAATCCAATTCACACTAGAGATGGAGTGGATTCGAAAATATCCTTCCTGCATGTCCATCTCACAAGACGGAACACCGGAAAGATTCGTCCACAGAAAGCTGATATGGAATGGATGAATTAAAAACTTGAACAGTTGGGTACCCTTACATACAAAACAAAACCTGATCTGTTATAATTGGGCCACAGAAACCGCAACATTTGCAGCCCTGAACACCATGAATGGGGAAATGAACACTCTAAGAGAGACTCTCATTGAAAATGGCTACCCCGAAACGCTTCATCACAAAATTCATGAAGCCTACACCATCAAAACCACACACCTACTTTCAACTCCCACACAACTTCTATATCTGAATACACAATTCAATGGAGATTCATTGGTAGAAATAATAGGAAACAGTTGTCCCACTTACTCAGCAAAACCTTCGCAGTCGAAATTCTACTTCCTCTACAAGACAAATGATTTGTATGAAGCTGAAGGATAGGTTACCACCGCTGACCGCCTGCTTCCGTGGAGCTATGTATGTCGACCGTACTCAGTGTCTACTATAAAAACGTATCATTGAACATTAACTCTCATGACTTTGCAACAGAGAAAACAAGTCCCCCTGGTCGACTCTGGACACCGAGCGAACCCGCAAACCAGCTTTAGAATCACCTGCAAAACATGCAGGAATCTTATCAAAGAAGTAAGAATCAAGCTTCTCCGGACCTCAGAAGGTATGACGATTCACATGTTAAATATTGAACTCTGCATATAGAAGAATCGTGTCAAGTCACTGAACCTACAATGGACCTAATTTGTCTTAACACTTGAAAAGCAATTTTTCTTAATCCTAATTTTTGAATTATATTTTTTTCTTCCTCCTCCTGCTTCATTATTACATTCTTAGTCATTATGACACTGATCTTAACTTGACTGTCAATTTTAGTTGAGTTCCATTCAGTCCTGTCAATTATATTACGTCACACAATTTACTCATTTAATTTTATTGTAGTTTCTACCCGACTAACGCTTTCTGAATTACTTAACTGTCATCTAAAACTAAATACTTTCTACTGACCATCAGATACTTCCTACACAATCATTAAGGATGCTGTTGTTGAAGTATTTAAATGAATGAATACCTCAAAACCAAACTTATGTAAGGTTAATCAGTAGTTGTAAGAACTACTTTAATTTCATCAGGTATAGGAATCTAAACATAGGAATTAAGCAAATAAGCACTGATTCAACATACTTCCTATTAAACAGCTCGAAAATAAAAACTGATGGAAGACAACAGACGCAAACTAATTAATCAGTGCTTTGGTATCACCGTATATTCATCCTATAAAAAAGGATATTGTGCCATGAAGTCATTACGAAGATAGGTGGTATCGGAGGGGAAGAAATTTGCCGCACAACGGGTAGTTTATGAACTTGAATGGTATTAGACGAACAAGCGGTGTGTGCGACTTATACCCCTTCTAAATTGTCTGAATGATGAATATAATATTCGCATAACAGAAATGTCAGATAAAAGTATGAATTATAAATCGCCTAAACAGGTATTGTTTAATTTGAAAACTCACCATGTTGAGTCGTTTCGTCCGCTCAAAAATATAAGGGGAAAATGGTGAAGCCGGTATGAAACGTCCAGCACCTTGAGTTACTCTAAGCTCTCCGTTCTCAAGCACAACACGACCAGCAGTAATTACAACAACAGGTACTCCATGGCACTGAACACCTTCGAATATATTGAAGTCAGAGTTTTCGTGATTGCCCTTCACCGATATTGTGCGTGTTGCGTCACCATCCCAAATAACCAGATCGGCATCACTTCCAACTTCAATTCTCCCTTTTTGCGGGTACAGATTAAAAACTTTAGCAGCATTTGTACTGGTGGCGGCAACGAATTTGCACGGATCCATAATACCAGAAACCTAATAAAAAAACACAACAGACATAGTGAAGTTTTCGAGAGAAATTGATGTAATACATGCCATAATAGCTTGCGACATTACTTACCACTCCTTTTTCCCAAACAATAGACATTCTATCTTCTGCTCCATTGACTCCAGGAGGAATTTTGCGGAAGTCATCTTTGCCTATAGCTTTCTGTTCGGCTTTAAAAACACAATGACCACTAGCAGTGCACTCTAGAACACCGGTAGAGACATAGCGCATTAATTCACTTGGAGTGCATGGATTATCTCGTAGTGGAGGATACAAAACATATCCTGCAGCATGGCGCCAGCAAGTGTTCTTGTAATGCCTACCATCAGTTCCTAGTGCAGCAGCCAAAGTCTCACCCACAACAATATTTCCTCTCAGACGTGCTTCAGATATTTGATAAGCTGCTTTCGGACTAGTAACTTGAAGAATATATAATGGGCAACCAGCAGCATCGCATACAGAAAGTGCTCGATGTGTAGCTTCAACTTCCGCCTGGAAAAAACAAAAGATATTTACTAAATTACAGCTGCTGTATACAAAATAAATCAAAAATAAACTTAAATTGATGGCAAGTGATCTTAGTGTGCTGGTTTGCAACTAAATCTTAGTTAATGGCTTGTGTTGCTCAACTTAATTATTTTCCCAGACAAAAGCTAATTTAAAGCTTGGGGATCACTTCACAAGTTTAGAATACGAGAACGCTTTAGTGACATCGAACGACTGATTTCGACATATCACCGGGTGACCTCTCTAAGAAAACAGATAAACATACCTACGAAATTTTCAACACAGTATAACCACGATTAGGAGCACCGCCACATGCATACTGTGAGGAGACAGTTCTGGTACGTTATTAAAGCTTACGGCTCAAAACTGTCCCACTTTCAGCTGTAGGTAGGTTGATGAGATATTTGTGATAATAACTAGAAGTGTTTCAAATGAACTACAGAGTAAACGTAATTAATTGTCGCCTTTTCATACACTACCAGGTTTTGCGATATATAGTATGCTTCAACATTCCAAACATATAGAACAATATTGAAAATTAAGGGACTTCAGAAAGTAGTATCTATAATGATCGCAACTTGTGTTTAACAAACGGAATGAGATACGACAAAAATCTGACACGCGATCTGCTATGAATTTATTATGATGGTGAGGATACTGAAGTTTGTACGGTCCAGTGTGAACATACATTTAACGACATTCCGACAAAGGATCCAACAAAAGAGACAATACCCTGAGGATTTATAAATTAAATCAGGATTCAGCAATGAGTAAATCCTAATTGACTGGTCTCATACTTGTGATTATCACAATTCGTTACTATTTTTATTTGTTCTTGAGAATGCTAAAATGGTACATTTAACCTCCGTAACTTGTAGATATTTGGGTGTTAGATTGGGAGATAAAATAACAGTGTATGCTATGTGGATCCTGATGTGCTAAGGGTTGATGACGTACAAATATGCATTTCATGACACAACCTAGTTAGTAGGAGGAAATCCTGAATTTTTTAAATACTTTGATGAAGTTATCTTGCCTACTGATATGACTATAAATATCTTAACTACAGAAAAGATACTATTTTTGCCTAAATATTAGAGTTGAGGTTAATTAAAGACCTCAAGGTACTTCAGTAGTTCAGCAACTTGACAAAAGTACATCTGCGAAAGTTGTTTATGCAGTATGCCACATTTATGCCAAAGTTTCCATGAAGTATCAAAAAATTTCCGGAAACCAGTCAGTCGACATACTTTGAAGATTCCGGAGGACTCAAGTTACCAAACCATGTGTACAGATCAGGTTGATTAGGGAGATCAAATCAATGAGATTAACTTTTACACAGAAACCTTGGAAAAACCAAAGGGGTGTGGTGAACACGTACCAACCGTCGCATTTTTGCACATAAGTGATGTTGCATCATATCTTTCGTGATGATTTGGCTTACCAACCCCACTAATTGACTTTCAGAGAGTTAAGATTTGAAACACAACATTTATTTCGTTCTTACTAACTAGTTAATGTCACGATAAGGGTGGTACATAATCCTGTAAGCAAAAAATCTGTCCAATAACCGAATTTCAGAAATCGATTTCCACTACTTCCTTCATTTTTTCAGGAAAGATTCTTCAAAATTGGTGCCATTAGCTTCCTAAGTTAGCAATAACATCACTGTCCAGATGTAACAGCAGCTAGAATAACTCATAGTATTCCAGTAACAGTAAATAAACATATGTAGTAATGAAGGCAGAAAAGTTATAAGAAGCTTATCATGAATATTCAAGATCTTAAAAACTGTGTGAAAAAAAATTAATGAACATAAAGATTTAGAAGACTTCTGCTGTTTTCTCAATGTTTATGAAAATCACAACACTTTTAATTACTGCTTTTATAAACATGGTAAACGAAATCTGGGTGACTCAAAAAGTATCGTACTATTCAAGAAGTTTAACTTCTTCGGCGTTAACTCAATGAGATTGTTTGCAAAGGGATTCTCACGCTGGCTTGGAATGCACTTCTACAGCAGGATACATTATTTTATGTGAACAATGATGCAGGACAGACTTAATACGTAGTTCGGTACTGGCTACATTAACTTGCACATGGCCGGTGACCCTATAGAGTCATCTAAACTGAGGTAGGTGCAGTGGGCTCCGACTGCTACATCCAGTAAACCACAATTCTCATCAAGTTCCCATTATCTGAAAGGAATGAGATTTTTTCCGACTTGCTTTGCGAAACCACTATGAACTTCGGGCCTTTCGCGATACACCAGTTGTACTAATTTCCTCCTTTAAAGATTATAAGTTCATGCAGTGGTCTCATGAAAACCAACGCGTTCATTTACAGATACTAACCACAATTTTATCACACATGGAGACTACCATTATAGTTAATCATAAGCTCGTGTATATTTAAGTGTAAAATAATACAAATGGTAGCTAAAACACTAATAACAAACAAGTCAGCACCACATTATATGGTCTACTAATACTAAACAAACATCGTTACCTAAAAGTGTGATCCAGATGTTGAAATCCTAAAAGCAAAATAAATACACTTTCACAAACATCTGATAAGTGTGAGGAGAGAGATGTACAGGGTGACTACATATATTTACCACTGATCAAAATATAAAATAATTTAAACTTGCCATCTCTGGATGTGCGTACAGACAGCCTTCAGGACCAGTGATACCTTCACTGTAAATCTTAGATTCCATGATCTTGACAAGCCTCCCATTCTCTGCATGCACTTGCAAAATAGCACCAAGATTTCGACACAGTTTTGAAATTTCAAAGAGATCATTGTCATCTAAAAGGAGGCCGCATGCACCGGATAAGAAAACTCTGAAGGAATTTACTCCTTTCTCTTTAACCAATAATTCCATCTCCTTAGATATTTTAGCATCGTAGTGAGGTACGACAATATGTACCGTGTAGTCACAACACACTTTGGTATCCGCTAACTGACGGCACTTTTCGTATGTTTCCAAAATCGATGCTGACTGTGTAGGTGCGACGCAATTGACTGGAAAAAATAGTCATTTTAAAACAAACGAACTTATTGTTGTGGTGCCTCCAGCCAGAGCCGCCTTGGTACCAGAATAAAAATCATCTGAGGTATTAATTCCCAAATATGACGACTCGAAAGAAGTGTGGGGATCAACACCACCTACAAATTTACTTGTCATAAAAGATACAATACCTGGAATAACCATTTTCCCAGCAGCATCGATAACCCGAACACCCCCTGGAATAGACAGCTGGTTACCAAGTTGTCTACGGAGAAATTAAACGGGATAAAACTTACCTGATAACCCCATCTTCTATGTAAACATCAGCAGTGAACATCCGATCATCATTTACCACTTTTCCTCCTTTAATAAGCAGACGATTTTGAGAACTCTTTAGGAAAACAAATCAGATATCTTGTGAATATTACCTGAAGATGCATTGGGAGCTTCTTAACCCCAACTTGGACACGCGACTCTTGCATATTTGCAGCACAGTAGCGTCAATTTTAAAATAATGCTCCTGAACGCCATAAACCCTTGGAGTAAATGTCCATTCCAATATCCGATATCGTTTTGACGAGCAAGTATAAACCAGTTTGACTATGCACTCGTAAAAAAATTTTCGTCTGAGTACCTGAAAGACTGATAAACACTGAATCAAACATTCATTACTACTTCAATTTATGTCTTTAAGGTTTGTGGAGTCCTCAAAAATAAACTTATCCAAATTTTACTACTATGTAAATAATGAACATATTGTACACTACTTTGTTTTAACCACAAACTCTGTACTTTGAACTTTACCTCGGGTTTTGAATAAATATATAGTTCTGCCTTCGACTCTCCATCTTCTCCACCATCTCAACTGCCGTCGATCAATTTTAATCACCTGCTTTCTATCTCAAATTTTTGCAGGAGCACCGTAGTTCTTCCTACGTACTTTGGTCGACCTCCGGCAACGTCAACATTGGAGAATTAGTACTGGAGCAGTCTTCCCGCAGCACCTGGAGTCTATAACGTTTATTGTGGACTTTGGATCTTTGTAAACCCAAGTAACCAAACTTTAATACATTCTTCCCGTAACTAAACTGATTTGGTACTTTATTTTCTATTTGAATTTGGGTAACTAAGCTAACCGAGTGAAAGGTCCACCACAATAATTGGTGAGCCCGTTTCGAACCTTTTTTTTATGGTTAACCCGTTTTCGAACCTTTTTGTTTCGATAGTTAACTCGTTTTGAACATTTTTGTTGCTATTTTGGCCTTTTAAACTCGCATTGCTTTAATTTTTGTTACCACAAGTTTTGCTATTTTGCATATCTCTATACTAAATTTTTTTTTGACAATGGCTCCATATAAACGTGTCACTATTTCCGAAGAACTTCATAAAGGCGAAGTGATACAGAACTCTTCTGTTACCGCCTTGCCGGATTCCACATCTATGAAGGACGCACCAATGTTTTGGTTACTTTCCCAGTTAACATCTCAAATGCAAGACTTACGACTGGAAGTGTCTGAGCTTCGAGCACAAAGGAACCAGTCACATACGGTATCTAAGCAACGGCGATCAAGATCTAGACGACGTTCTAGAACACCGTCTCAAAGCCGTAACATTTGTTGGTATCATAGGAGGTATGGGCATAATGCCCTGAAGTGTCTTCGACCGTGTATGTACAACAGTAGTAACTCACCTCAGGGAAACTCCCCAGCCAGACAGTAATGGCGACGGCTGTTAATGGCAATCACCCCAGTCGCCTTTTCTATGTGAGGGATTTGACTACCGGCACATTATTCCTGGTAGATACAGGCGCCGAGGTCAGTGTTATTCCCCCCTCACTATCCAGGCGATCAGCCAAAATACCTGGTAAACTTTCACTTCGTGCTGCCAACCAAACCAACATACAGACGTATGGCGAACAGTCAATGATTTTAAACCTAGGATTACGCCGACGTTTCACATGGATCTTCATAGTAGCTGACGTACGTCACGCTATACTAGGTGCAGACTTCCTAAGTCACTTCAATCTGTTGGTTGATATCAGCAAGAAAAAACTGGTTGACAATTGCACCCAACTCAAGATCCACGGTATTACATGTGACTACTCTGTTCATAGCATCTGTATAGAAAAGCCGGAGAGTGAAATGTTCTCTGCTTTATTGCAACGATTTCCTAAAATCCTTAAACCATCATACAACGTCGAAGATATATCTCATACAGTTACGCATAAGATCATCACAACAGGACAACCTGTGAAGGCACGTCCACGACGGTTACCACCCGATAAACTAGCAGCAGCTAAGTCGGAATTCGAACATATGATGCAGCTAGGTATCATACGACCATCTAACAGCCCATGGTCTTCACCTCTGCACATGGTACCTAAAACTAATCATGACTGGCGACCATGTGGAGATTATCGCGCTTTGAATAACGCTACGGTCCCAGATCGTTATCCTATACCTCATCTCCACGACTTCTCCTTGACCTTACATGGAAAGACCATTTTTACTAAAGTTGACTTGGTCAGGGCATATCATCAAATACCAGTCGCTCCAGAAGACATTGCAAAAACAGCAATTATCACGCCTTTTGGATTATTCGAATTCTTGAGAATGCCTTTCGGACTAAAGAATGCTGCTCAAACATTTCAGCGTTTTATGGACCAAGTTACCCAAGGTCTTGATTTCGTCTTTGTATATATCGACGATGTCTTAATTGCCAGCTCATCGATGGAAGAACATATGCAACACTTAAGCCTGTTATTTCAAAGGTTTGAACAATTTGGAGTTGTTATCAATCCAAAGAAATGTATTTTTGGTTCCCCTTCCATTGAATTCTTAGGACATCGAATAACTGCCGAAGGCATCAGACCTACCGAAGATAAGATAGAAACTATTAAGAACTTTCCCGAACCTGATTCCTTAAAGAAACTTAGACGTTTTCTCGGGATGTTCAACTTCTACCGACGTTTTATTCCATCATGTGCCTCCATAGTTCAGCCACTGACCGACCTACTTAGATGCAATTCGAAGAAATTTCAGTGGTCTGAAGAAGCAAAAGCAGCATTTAATAATGCAAAAGATGCCTTATCCAACGTTGTAATGTTATCTCATATCAACCCAGAAGCTTCACTCATTTTATGTACAGATGCATCGCAGGTAGCAGTGGGAGCAGTTTTACAACAAAAGTTCAATAATGACATCACTCCACTTGCTTTCTTCTCCAAGAAGTTGGAACCTGCGCAAACTCGTTACAGCACCTTTGGCAGAGAACTGTTAGCCATCTACCTAGCAGTGAAACATTTCAGCTTCTTACTACAAGGTCGACATTTTACTATCTTAACCGACCATAAGCCTCTTTGTTATGCTTTCACCACTTCGTTGGACAGACACTCTCCGAGAGAAGCCAGACAACTGGATTACATCTCACAATTCTCAACAGACATCCAGTTCATCAAAGGAGATTCCAATATCGTAGCCGATTCTTTGTCTCGATGTGACGTTAATCACCTATCTTCGATAGATATTAGCTTAGACAATATTGCCAAGCTGCAGAAAAATGACGCCGAACTCCATACTTGTAGACGAAACTCCTCCCTACAGTTGCAGGATGTACCTATTCCCCTGTCTGATACAACTATCGTCTGCGACGTTTCAACGGGCGTTCATAGACCTTTTGTTCCACTAAGTTGTCGAAAACCTTTGTTTGAACATCTACATTCATTGTCTCATCCTGGAGTGCGTGCTACGGTCAAGTTAATCAGCGAGCGTTTTGTTTGGCCCAAGATGAACTCCGATATTCGGAAATGGGCCCGCCAATGCTTGCAATGTCAAAGATCCAAGGTACATCATCATACCGTCACACCTCCAAAACAGTTCAATTTACCGGATAAACGATTTCAACACGTTCATATAGATATTATTGGACCATTACCGCCATCCAGAGGATTTACTCATATACTTACTGCGATTGATCGATTTACCCGATGGGCTATTGCTTGTCCACTCAACGATATATCTGCAGAAAATATCGCTTTGGTTTTCTTAGATCGCTGGGTGTCAAACTACGGAGTACCCACAACTATTACAACAGACCGAGGAGCTCAATTTCAATCAACTCTGTTTCGAGAGTTTACGAGACTCCTTGGAGTGAACCATATCTCCACTACAGCTTATCATCCTGCAGCGAATGGTCTGGTGGAACGTTTCCATCGACAACTGAAAAGCTCGCTTATGGCACAAGCTGACTCATCTAAGTGGAGTGAACACCTACCATTAGTTCTTCTCAGTATCCGATCAACTGTCAAAGAAGATTTGGGATGTACACCAGCTCAACTTGTGTATGGTACTACCCTCACATTGCCTGGTCAGTTAGTTCCGTCTAATGATTCAACTGAAGTAAATATCTCCGACTTCACCAACCGCCTTACCCAGCAAATGCTCCAGCTTCGACCAGTAGCCCCTCGCCAATCACTTCAGAAAGCTCAAGTAAATAAGAATCTACTCACTAGCAAATTTGTATTTGTTCGCGTCGATGCCATTGCATACGGCTATGAAAGCCCCATGAGGTACAACTACCAGGGTAGTCTTAACACAGGGTACCCAGGTCCAGCAAACTACAACCCAAATTGCAGGGCAGACCATATATCACCAGTAGATGAACGCAGATGCCGACCCATGGATGCTAATAGTCAAAATATGCAACAGGATTATTTTCGGCTGCAGCAAGCAATAGCCCCCCTCGCAGCACAATTTGTCCAGGGAATAGTAAACACGCTGACAATGTCTCATATGAGGATTCCTCCGAACATAACATAGGCAACCAGGAGTTAGGGATAGTAACAAGAAAACCTACTAACTATCCCAACAACCCTGGTTTTCTGAAAATTATGCTTTTAAATGCTCGATCTCTCCTTAACAAAATAACTTCCCTTCGCAGCTTGGTATACATGGAGCGGCCAACACTGATTCTGGTAACTGAAACTTGGCTTACTATTGATATACCTGACACAAAGCTGATAATCGATAACTATAACATCCACAGGAATGACAGAGCAGACAAGAGAGGAGGAGGCTGTCTAATATATGCCTCTAAATCCACTAACTCCAATACCTTTACAAACCTAACTATCGACAAACTCCCAGAATCCAAGTGGATAAGCATCCACACGAATGAAAATAACATTCTTGTGGGATGTATATACAGAGCCCCTAACAGCCCTATAACGACTGATACGGTTATCGGAGAAATACTAGAGGTTGTACCTAAGCTGGAATTCGACTACAAACTAGTTTGTGGCGATTTCAACCTCCCTGGAGTGAACTGGGATACCTGCACTGGACCGAGAACCTACGAGGTGATCCTAGAAGCCATAGATGTAGGAGGATGGAAGCAGTGCGTACGCCTCCCAACACGACACAACAATATACTCGACTTAATCCTCTGTCACAAAATAGAGCCGATCTCGATAGAGGTGAGGGATAAACTCGACAACAGTGACCACAACATACTGTACTGCACCCTACCCTTACAACTAACAACTAAACACACACCCAAGAGTTCCCCGGTTTACTATCAATATAGGGACTATCGAAATGCCGACTGGGAATTCCTACCAACGCTCTTGAGAAGCTCAGACTGGGGTGAATACTTCACCAATAATAACTTAGAAGTAATACTAAATACCTTCTACAAGACAATCAGTTCGGTAAGAGACACAATCGCACCCCTGAAATCTGCCCTAAAGACACCAACTCTGTTCATAGATC